ACATTTTCCCACTTTTACTTGACTCTATCAGACAACTTCCCAGTAAATAAAGGATTACGGCAAGGCTGCTGTATATCTCCAACCCTGTTTAAGATATACATTGATAAAGCCCTAAAAGAATGGAAAAGAAAGTGCAGAAGCATGGGTGTGAAAATAGGTGATGAAACATTGTTTAGTCTACTATTTGCAGATGACCAGGTGATAATGGCTGAAGATGAAGACGATGTAACTTATATGTTCAGAAAATTAGTAGAAGAGTATGGAAAATGGGGGATGGAAATAAATTTACAAAAAACTGAATATATGGTGGTGGGAGGTATGCCCCATGATTTAGAGACTAGTATAGGAATAATTAAAGGTAAAACACAATATAAGTATTTGGGAATCACACCAACAGCAGATGGTAGAGACGAACAGGATGTGAAAAATAAAAATATAAGAGGAAAAATAGCCACAAGACAGTTGAACCCTGTGCTGTGGAACTCGATTATTTCAATGAAAACAAAGAAACGTATATGTAGCTCCTTCATAGAGAGTACCACACTCTATGGGGGCAGAAGTGTGGACACTATCAAAAAAATTGAAAGACAAATTTCCATCAACAGAAATGATGTTCTGGCGAAGATGTTGTAAACTTTCTCTGTTAGATAGAATAAGAAATGATGAAATAAGAAATAAAATGAAAGTGCAAACAACCTTGAACGGGACGATCGAAATGAGACAACTAAAATGGTATGGACATATGAGAAGGTTGAAATCGGATAGACTTCCTCAAAAAGTTTGGGAGTGGATACCAAATCGAAGAAGATACAGGGGAAGACCGAGAAGAACATGGAACATGGCAATAACTGAAGCCATGGAAAAAAGAGAAATGGAAGAAAACGATGTATGGGATAAAGAGGCATGGAAATTGGAATGCGGGAAACGGCCAAGGCTGTAAAAAAACGCTAAATAGATAGTTAGATTTCAATTATCTTACATTGCTTCCTAAAATTCCCTACCCCGGGCCCTGCTACCGCCAACCAGGTGAAATTAGGAGGCATGTGAAATTCAAAACAAAACAAATGGTTGGTTAATTAGGTTCTTTTAAATGCAAGATATAAAGATTTTTAATGCTGTATGAAAAGACTTTTTTTAAAAGAACCTAGAAAAAAATAATTTGAAATAATGCTAAATCAAAATATTTTGTATAGTAGATAAAAAGTTACGTTTTAAGTATTTCTGCAATAAGTGCACACAAATTTCCTCCCTTCCCCACTTGCTGCATCAGAAAATGTATGATTCTGATTGAAATGTGTTGAGCAGAGTAGCCACTGCTGTCCAGAAGACATTTGTATAGTGTTCATTGCAGAATGTACAAATGGCATCCATCAATTGAATACCTTAAATATCTTTGTCATTATCACTGTAAGAGCTTAGAGGTTCTCTTAAAAACTTCCACTGTCAGATTTATTGTTATTATTATTATTATTATTATTATTATTATTATTATTATTATTATTATTATTGTTATTATTATTGTTGTTATTATTATTATTATGGTGATATAAAAGTTCTTCAACTTTTCTAGTATGGTGAGCTGGTTAAAACTACACTCCCCCACCCTTTTGTTTTCGTAAAGGTAGTTTAATTTGAGGTACCAATCTTATACCCTGAGGTGATACACTAACCACAGCATCAGTTATTGAATCAGATGTGGATGAGGTTTGTTATCCTGCATTCTGTTTATGTTGCCATCTGCATGGTCATCCTGTCATCACTGACTGCTTGACAAAATGCATTAATTCCGGCATTATCCGACCCACCATCAACCGGGCTTGGACGGCCATTTTCCATTAAGTGGGATTCTGTAAAGACTGCGTCTTCAAAAGGGTAAATAGTTCATAGTTGCTGTCCTGATATTCACATTACCCACGAGTTTGGTGACATCATACTGCGCGACATTTTTTCCTGCATTATTGGAAATCCATTTTTCAGTTTCGTGATTGTCAAAGGTTTTAAGCGGTTTCATAAAAGCGACAACTAACCGTTGTAGACGTTGGGTTCTGTGAGGTAAGTAGACCATGAAAATTTGATTCTCTCGGACAAAATTTGCATCTTCCAAGTTTCTAGTATGAGTGATTTTCGTTAGGGATCAATACCACTGGATGTTCTAGTGAAGACTTGACAAAGCCAGCAAAATGTTTCATCCACTTACAAAACAAGTCACACTTAATCCACCCGAAGGAGTGAAACCCCGTTATATTCGACTTCCAGGTGGAGCACCCTTCATTAGCCTCAAATTTTAATTCTTTTTAGGGAATAGGGGTAAGCCGGGGTAATGAGGGTCACTTTTTTTTTTAAATTTAAATGGTTCCTATGAACAAGTATGTGCTTTTGTATCACGCATTAGTTATTAAGCTTGTTTTCACAAAACAATCAACTAGTGGAGCTCCAACAGCACATACTTGCTCGTGTTATTGAAAACAGCTACGTAATACTGAAGTCTTGCTTTTTCTGCACAACTTAAACCTCTGCTATAATTAATTGATAACGTCCAATTCAAACAAAGCGCCTGTGATACGTAACTGCATTAATTTCGATAGTCAGGAGCAGCAAACATTTCTAACTTTGACAAAAGAAAAAACAGGAATACATTTGACTGATACAGTATTCGTAGCAAATTATATAGAAAAAAAGAGCAACGCACTGTTGCCAGGGCAGCGTTGTGACAACTATGGTTGGCTAATAATATCAATACAATAACTAAAATATGTGCAATTGACATCAAAATAATTGCGAAAATTCTAGCTGCTCACTTCTTAGTTGCCTTCCATCATTAGATATCAGTTCCGATCGCCTTTCATCGTTTTTCCTTTATTCAATACGCAATAAAAAATTTTAGGGATCAGATGATATTAAATAATATATAACATACTTCACCGGGCATTCAGGGCAGTAATGTATAAAAAAAACTGCTGCGAAATTCATCACAAACAGAAGTACTGGCACCTTGTCTAAAGTTCACAATGCAAACATAAACATGAGCATGGCGTTAACATAAAAGTTATTCCCTAAGCGGATTCATTCACAATGCGTTCGCATACGCGTAACACGTAAAACTTCTGTGCTTATGCTTACGTATGACATAAGAAATGAACCAATCACAGACCGGTAACTCAAAATCGAAATTGTAATGAAGTCTATAGAAGAACTAACGCCATTTGGGACATGGACACAGTCGATAACTTGAAAGCGATTCTCACACAAATGATTACACACTCGAAAATTAATTTATTAACAGGCTGATAATGCCTTCTGCTGTATGGTTTGTGGCAAGTAAAAATGAACGAGGTTTACATTTTCAAACATTTTGCAATTAAGATTTCATTACAATTACAGAAAAAGAGTCATAGATATTTAAATACATATAATTTTTATAATATGTACAAAGAAATCTTATTTTGTTCATATTTTCTAGTGTTAAATGCGAACATCTAGTTAATTTTAAGAATTAAATGTAGAACAATAGCACAATAATAAAAATGCATAACTACAAAAAAAGATGAATTTGTTATTTCTATACATCAAAATATATTATTTAAAAATTATTTGATTTCCAGTAGAAAAATTTGAACACGCATAAATTATTAATTTAAATGTAGTAAAAAATACGTCTGTCTAATTTTGTAACATAAATTATACTTATTTTATATAACTTTTTTCTGGATTATTTGAAAAATAATTTTTCGCGTGCTTACAGGCGATAAAGCTGTTAATCCGATTCTGGGCGCCACTGAACAGCGCCGTGTGAAGGCAGCGTAGCATGGAACTTCTGGAGTCCCAGAGAAGGCTGCCGAGGCCCGTTTTAATGCAACTACTCCTGCGGAGCCACCATTATCGCAATCCTTAGGAAGCAGGGAGAAATACACAAGTCCCTTTCATTCATTACTTAAAACTCTTTCTTTAAATAAGAATACCCCAGGGGAACACAGTAGAACAGTAAGAACGTTGTCTGTGCAAGTTTGGCAGATTATGAGGAGGTCTGACTTGTTCTACCTACCTTAAAAACCCTTCAAATTGGTATTTATTGTGTTGACTTCTTCATTCCTTATAGCCTACTGTTGTCATAAAGAGTTCAGATGAGTGTTGCGATTTATTATTTTTAAATTTAATGTCGATTAATTATTGAATTATGGTTGATAAGTAAAAGTTTGGATTGTGTTGGGAGTTTGGAGCGAAAACTATTGTTATTAATTAAATTATTTTTTTATTCACGAGTCACTGGCTAGACAGGCTTTTTTATTAAAATCCTCTTGTTCATTTGCTTTTCCAAGCCAAATTACACTCATATATTTTAGTCAATAGTCAAACTGTAAGATGATGTTCTCTTCCTTCATAAAATGCTTTCTCTATTCGTTTGCTGTATTTTATAAAATCAAGGTTAAGTGCACTATTCCACTTGTTTCTCGATGGATGTGGAAACGCGATGGGTCAGCCCTCCTTCCGCGGTCAGAAAGCATCACTCTTAATTTTTCGTCCCAAAATCCATTTAGAAAGGATCGAAAGAGTAATATTGTCGACTGTCAAAAACGTATCAAACATTTCCGTTTGTCTTTAACTGTGCAGACGTGAGATCTGGAAACACGTTTATTTGGTGTATTAATGTTTTGAATATACCAAATAAATTTAATTTTACTCCTATTTTTATAATTATAAAATAGCATGAGCGTATCGCATTCATATTTGTCAATAATATGCGGTGTGACAACGGTCTGACATGGATTTATTTGACTGAGGTATGGCTGTGTAGATTGATGTGAAGCATATTCCGAAAAGCTTAACAAGCCTTTATTTCTTACGTATGTATGCTATCATGGAGTGGAAACTTCAGTTGTAAATCTATTAAAATGTGTCAAGGCGAGATTAAAAATGTCACAGAAAACGAATATTTAAATGTAGCGCGTGAGTGTAACTAACAAGTGTTTCGTAGGTCAAGATGCAATGCAAGGTATACTAACCAACACAAAACCTGTCATGCCCAGATGCATCCATGTATACATCCAATACAATATGTCAGAAGTAATGGACATTTTCACCTATGATATGAACGAAAATACACTGCCATACATTGTTCGTTTTGCGTTTGATTCAACTACTATCAAATTCACTCCAACTATTTCTTTTTCGTTTAGTCATAGCTCACACTGTCAAGTTGGTATTTGTTAGGAGATCTCAAATCATGGCAGTGACGATGGGATTAAATAGCTGGGAAGTTAAGTAATTTATTTAAAATACTTGTTTTATTATTTTCATTTTTAACTTCGTCTTGTAGAAAGACGCCTTTTTTGTTTATTTATAATATCGTTAATCTAATTATGTATTAATCCTTATGTTGTTTGATCTTTCTTTTCGGTTTTTGTGACGCGATGTATCAAACTAAGTGGGTTTACTGTTAATTTGCTATTATCTATCGCCGTGATCTAACTTCCTCCAAAATTTTTAAACAGTTTTGAATTGACAGCCTAGTAAGGTGTCATTTTATTATGTCTGACACTGAACCAGAAAATTCTGAAAGTGTTTTAAGAGGTTAGGTAGAACTTTCATACTCCTTTCTTCCTTGTTCTAGTCACTCCTCACCTCATTAACCTTAACACATTTGTTCTGCATTACAGATCTTCGAAAGCAAGCTCGACAACTAGAAAATGAAATAGATATAAAATTAGTGTCTTTCAGTAAGTTGGGGACCAGTCATGGGAATTCAAGCTACAAATCAGAAAGGTTACTAAGAATATTCCTTAATTTCAGTTGATTAATTACAAAATATTTGTGTTAAAAAATGATGTGTGGATATTTTCAGTAGTGACACAGTTCCTCTTCTCAGTGGAGAACATATGTTTGAAACAATGGCCCTCGAAATCGAACAACTTTTATCAAAGGTGAGTTGACTTTTATATACATATAATTATGTTGTAATTAAACATTAATATGAGTAACATTGAGTGGTCTCTTACATGTAGAATCTAAAAAGGGTTTCATCTGTCAGTTTCAAAACTCAATCCTTTTTGTATACAATTGAAGAATGATTTGCTTTGTAGTGGTAGAGTTTGATTTCTGAAATGTAATTAGTAATTATATGTAAATGCATCATAAGAAATTCAAATCTGAAATCAGATTTTCTCCAAGAACAGCACTTGTGTAGTTTGAACATGTACCATTAATTCATTGTAGCTGAAAGAACAGGATATTTGAAAGGTAGTGGTTGGCAATATACAACTTTTATATGAACCATTAATTTGAAATTCCTACAATGGAATTTCTTGTCCTATAATATATATATACATATATACATACATATAATACATTAAATCAATGTAAGATACACATCATAAACAAATATATTAGAAATTGAATCTGATAATATTTTTTATTTGCATGGTGTTTCAAATTTTTTTGGAGTTTTAATGTGTGGATCTTTTGTTAATGAACGATATACTATTTTAATGAATATATTGGTTTACTGACAAGATATTATTTATTCATATATCTGTAATGAAATATTGTATTGTATTTTAATGACAGATCCACGTGAAGAAGAACATAACAAACATTGGATTGAAACGACATGCAAATAAAACATTGTGTGTTGGCCATGTTTAATGTATTTAATTGTGATTGTGTCATCTCAAAGGATAATTTGTGAAAACAATGTTTACAAAAATCATCTTATGCTTCTGAAGCTAGAGTGATGTTTTTGCCAGCTGTTAGCTGACTTACTCGTGTCTTGCTAGCCCCTGATTTGGTTCAGCTCTTGGCTGTGTAATTCTATTTTTGTTTAGGAAAAACTGAAAACAGATTTTAATTTAAGAGACAATTAATAAACAACTGCATAATATTAAGTCATCTGAAGTACAGATATGTACAAGAATATGGTAATGTTTGAATTTGAATAACATTTTGATTCAGGGCTGTTTATGATAGGCTTAGAATATTTTAAAATTGGTAATGAGGAATATATAAACTGTGCATACGGATTTTAAAACAATTGTTGAATTGAATTACTAAATTCTTTTAGGGAGTGTTAAAAACACTCCCTACGAATTCAGAAAGGAAGGGATGGGTCTTCCATTGCTCCAACCTGATTGTTGTGATCTGTACAGTTGTAGAAGGCTGGTTGAGTCTCGAAAGTACTTCTAGAGAAAGCCCCAGGCAACCAGGGGAAGTTAGGTCATGTGCCTTTGCATTACTGCTTTACTGACCAGTGTGTGCTGAAGCACGCCCAAATCCTACAAGAAACACCTTTTACAATACGAATTTCATTCAAAACCACTGACCACATCTGCAGACACTGTGACTGTGACATCCGCATTGGGAAAGTTATCAATCTTTTCTTGTTCCTGCCAGGAATCAAACTTTGATCCATGTGCCTTTAATGACATTTAAATATCAATATGGTATTTCAGAAAATTATTTTGTAGTTCTTAATAATTGTATTAATATTATTTTTAGGCAGTTTTCAGGATCTTTTCAATGTCTGTCTTTAGATTTTGTATCTCTAAAAAATCTCTTACATTAAAAGTATACTTTTTGCTATCTAGTAGTTGTGAAATTGGATTTCTTTATCTGTAATTTCATTTCATACCTGGAACTGTATTTATTATCTGATGTGCCAGTGGCTTAATGTAAATCCTGTGATTTTTGCATTGAGTATTGTGGTAATTAAATGGGTATTAATTTTCTTGTTCAATTGCTGTAGTTGTCTAACATCAATGAGAAGATGGGCGAAGTTTCATCCGGTCAAGCTCCAACAAGTTCTGCAATTTTACACACAATGCAGCGTCACAAAGAAATTCTTCAAGATTACAATCAAGAATTCCGCAAGACTCAAGCCAATTATCGAGCAAGAAGAGAAAGAGAAGATCTTTTGAAGAGTGTACGAAAAGATATTGAGTAAGTGAACAGTTTTACTTCATTAATTTCTGTAAATAATGAAAATTGTAGGGTTTTGATGATTTAAATGTATTGACTTATATCATTGATTTAAAACAAGATTTAAATGATATGATTCACCAAAACAATTAACGATTAAAATCAAAAATATAATTTATTGTAAATTTTATGAACAATGATTAAAAAATTTGAAGATCAAATCAAAGGAAAATATACCCAGAAAACTGAAAAGAAAATATTAAAAAGAAGGCAAGGACTGGTGGAGAAGAATAGAAATTTTAAAAATCCAAAGTTTGTGCCAGCCAAAGTGTACATTGACATCAACCCTTGCATAACAGAATGGTGTGTATTCACATCATTTTCGAATGATGAAAAAGATGCTGTGGTTTGTGATTCCTATAAATTGGATAATTATAATACTCACAATGTATGTTTATTTGGATTAGCCAAGTCTTTTTCTTGGGTGAGATGGTATTTAAAGGAGAGAACAAATGTTTGTGAAACAAGAACAATTGCAAGAACCCTTTTTTTGACAGAAAATTTTTTCTAATGTGTTATATTAAATTTAAATCAAAACAATCATATTTAAATTTTAAAAAAATGTATTGGTCAACGCGCTATGGTTTCAATGCTCTTGGTCGACACTTGCCACCACCATGTTTTTTGCCATAAAAATGAGAGGTGCCTGATGGTGGCATGTCGTTTGTATCAGATCCTATTTCTTCAGCATATAACTATAAAAATAGAAGTCATCAAATCACAAATCATTGTCATCAAACTACATCTTCTGATATTTTCCTTTTTTGGATCATCCTCTGCTACACTGAATTTTACAAACAGCGTAGTTGGTCAAATTAATTTCTTGGTTCACACAGAACTTTGTAAGCTCAAGCGTGAAATGTGGATTAAGTGGTAAATGCTTTTTTCACATGAGTTTGAAAAATGATTTTTGCATTACATTTGTCCAATTAATACCATGATGATTGGCGTATTTCCTTTTTCACGCAGCAATTACAAAGGATCTTCAGGACTTAATAGAAGAATGGATTTGTATTTGAAAGAGAATGAACACATTCGGAAGTAAGTGTATAAGCATAGTAATAACTGAGATATAAAATGGAAAAATATTTTCCATTTATAATTAACTAATGAAACATTTTTTAAAATTTTCTACTGTTCTTTTAAAGCTCTGATCGACTGATAGATGAACAAATAAGTATCGCCGTGGAAACAAGAGACCATCTGGTTTCTCAGAGACTTGCTTTTAAGAGATTCCAGACAAAGATTCACGATATCTCGAATAGATTTCCTGTTCTGAACAGCCTGATACAACGGATTAACTTCCGGAAGAGAAGAGACTCCATAATCTTAGGTCTTGTTATTAGTATTTGTACAATACTTATTTTAATGTATGCCTTCCATTAGCACTTTCCATTTTCATTTCAATAATTTCTTCTTCGTATAATTTTTTGCAATAATTTTTGTTGTCTCATAATATTCCAAAATAGTGTAGATAATGTTGATGTGGAAAAAATGTTTTTGAAGTAATTTCATTTTCTGTAAAGTATATATTTATTTTGTGGATTGTGACATGAAGCAGCAAGGCCAAAGCATGTTATGTAAAGCAGTAAAATATTTTTACAGAATAACAGAATTGACCTTTTATTTTTATTTTTTTGGTGCTATAAGTCAATTTGCAGTTTTATTTCTAGATCTTTTTATTTATCACACAAAAGAATCCTCATTCTCTTGTACATTGTGAAGTTTAAAGGCATTGCTTTCAAACGGTTAAGTTATTGTGTTAAATACCTATGTGATCATGTTAGAATGTTTCTTCTATCAAATTTTATTTTTACCAAATCTCCCAGAAATAACTTTGGATCATGGCAGGCAATTGGGAAGCTATCAGGTTTTCTCTTAAAAAATATTTTAAGATTGTATTTTGTAGTTATCCTGAAATTGCTTTGCCAGGGTCATAAGTATTGTGATGTGTAATTGAATTGCAACAATTGAGATTTCCTATAATATTTTATATCTTATCTAATGACTACATAACAAGAAAGATTTTGATAAATAAATAGAGATATTGTCAGGTATCAATATTTTATAAAAAAAAAAAAATATTGATACCTGACAATATCTCTATTTATTTATCAAAATAAAAAAAGGTATCTACTTCACCAACAATCCAATTAACAAGAAAGATATTTCATAAGAATATAGAATGAGGCAGTTGCAATATCACATTGCATTTTCTAGCAATTATGAATGAAACATTTTGATGACGTCCCTGGGTGTGATGATTTATACAGCACTACTTGGTGCTGTTCTCTTGTGTTTACATTTTATTAACAAGTAGAATGGTTTTGGCCTACAAAGAAAAAAATACTTTTGAACTATTGAGCATATCTGTTCTTATACCTTTTGTGGTTGCTTTGCAGAAATATTATTTCAATTGTGTATGTATGAATTGCAATTGTTATTGGAGAGGTACGATATAAGAAAAGGTGTAATATAATTGTTGCATATGTATGTGTTTGAACTAAGTTTCTTACACAGTTTTGTAGAATAAGTTAGTTACTTGTTGGTAATATAACAATTTTGTAAATATATAAAAATAAATATATACAAAAATGACCACCAATTTCATCCTTTTAATAACCAGTCAGTGACTGCAAGTTTGAAGTATTTTAATGTACCTCATTTACAGTGCTATCATTCAGTATTGTGATATGCAGAATCAGTTGAAATTTATCACAAACAATTTGTTAAAATTATTGCAACTCCGAATAACATACTTTGTTTGAAACCATATTGCTATTATATGGGAATATTTACTTATTGCCTTCAAAATATTGATTTTGTAAATCTGGTTTACTCAGAGAAAAATGGACTTATTGAGATTCCAAAACCAATTTAGAACCCATCTAGTGAAATGTAGAAAAAAGATTTGAGTAGTTTGCAAAGTGACTAAAAGAAAGCACAAGTATGCAAGCCTGCCCCAGAATGTATCATTTTACTTGTCAGAAAGATGAATTGGGAGCAAATAGCTGCTTCCAGAAGTTGGAACATAGGGCAAAAGCAATGGCGTAAGATTCCGTCCCGCAATGCAGGCGGATCCAGGTAAAAAAGGGCCTTCGTTTACATTGAAGGTTTTGTGATTGTAAGAAATAAAAGAATAAAAGCAACATCTTGATGCAATAAAAGATTAAAAGCAGCATCTTCCAGAACAATTTTTTCTGCTTTGGTAGCTTCTGATCTCCTTTTCTGTATCAATAAATGCAAACAATTTATTTATAATAGTCTTAATTTCATAAACTTAAATAATAAAGGAAAAATATGGTTATTAACCATAGAATGATTAATTCGAATTTTTTAATGGATATTTTTGTTATTTGAGGAACCTAATTATAACTTGTTTGCAACAAATGTTTTTAAAGGAGGCCGGATAAAAGTTTTTCTGGCAGGCCCACACTAATTTCGCTACGCCACTGGCGAGAGCATTGGCAAAAGCAGTTAAAGATCATGGTAGGGGGAGGCGAAGGATCAGACAATGTCTTTCCTACAGCCTCACTTTCAAACAGTCATAGTTTAAGGAATTTCAATGGTTGGCTTCCTCGCAACTCTATGGAATTGCCAACTCTAAAAATAGGCCTTGCTTTTTAGTAATAAATGCAATATTTGCAACAGAGAAAAATGTGCTGCTCTATTGAATATAATTTGGTTTTTATATAAATACTCAGATTTGGCAGAGCATGTAAAATGCCGAATGAATTTGAAAACATGAAAGAAACCAAGTACAATTTCAGATGCCATGAAGGAAAATGCTAGTCTTTATGCTATGCAGTTCAATGAAAATCTATGTTTCAACAAACTTTCCCTACATTTAATCATAGGTACAGTAATTAAGTAAGCATGAATGAAGATTTTGTGGTCATGATAAAATGGATTCAAGAATTCATGTGAATTTTTGACGTTACCAGTATCATGGAGCGCTGGTGAAATTCAGGACCAGTATTCAAAGATAAAAAAAATTATTCAGCAGTGAATCAAAAAGTATTCATAATGAATTAATCTTGTGCATCAATGATTTAGTGCAAACAGAATCAGCGTCTTTTTACCTTCACACCATTACTTAAGAAAAGGAGAAAACTGATTTTTCCACTGGGAAACTTATTGCTGGGCTCTGGTAATGGAAAGTGGATAAATGTTGTTCCTATGGATAGACTCCTCATGTATCTTAATTACAAATAACTTCCTCAAACATGTTGTGTAGTCAGCATCCATGTTTGTATCCTTGATACCTAAAAATCGATTGATAGCAAAATGTCTGTCCTTCTGTCAGTGGTCAATGCTAATGCGTAACCATTCCATGAATGTTGTACAAAATTGATATTTAAGGGTCGATTTGAAGGAACTGAAGGCCCTGCGAGTTTGGAAAGAATATTTTTATTCTTGTGGATACTTAATAATGTGTACATTAAGCATTAATTACATTTTCAAAATTTTCTCAAAACTGCCTACAATTTCTTTGATTAAAGTGTGACGTTAGATAGTGTAAATGATGTGTGAGAGAATGGCACAAACTTCAGAAATCCCTGATTTTTGGAAAGTAGAATAAGTTCAATATTTTTTGGTGTCTTCCTACAACTAAATATTGAAGTTTTTTTTTTTTTTCCAGTGATAAATTCTGTTCTTAGAGGTCATATCTTGAAAGAAGACCATGTACAATTTTTTCAAAAGAGGGTGTTTTTTGCTTAATTTTTGGTGATACATAGCAATTTTGAAATGATTGAAACCTATTTTCTCAAAAAGGCTTCAATTTTTTTCTTGAATTTTCTCTTCATATGTATCAAAGGACAGGGAAAATATTATCTCATTTCTGGTGAACTCCGTGTATTTTCGAAACCTGCAGAAGTTATTTCAAAACTACAATGGTGAAGATAGATATTTTTCCCTTAAACAAAATCTGTTCTAAAAAATCAGATCTTTAGAAGATGTAATGTACAATTTTTTTAAAAACATGAGTCGTTTTCATGTAATTTTTGATTGAGATTAATACAATTTATATAATACCCATTTTCTCAGCTTTTTTTGTGACTTCAATTCCAAAAGGGGGGGAGGGGTTGGTGAACCCTTCACAATGAAACTCTTCTTTTCAAAAATGACAATTTTATTGATTATCAATTACAATTGAAACTATTATTTTAATGTCATTAGTAAAAATGAAAAGCTGTAACAAATGTTTAAAAACATTTCATATAAACAATATTTTGAATGCATTAGACAAAAATAATTCACAGTGATCAGGTTCAGTGCATTCCAATTCTTTCTTAATACTTGTTACAAACATGCTTATTATACTGCAAACAATACAGCTTCAGTTTGCTCAGTTTATTTCTTGCTTTGGG